AAATTATGTGCATTTGATTTGAATAAAAGTAAATTATTATTTTGCTTTTGAGTTATTAGTAGTGAATTACTACTGATTCTGAGTTTAGAAAGTTTGATGCATTGAAACATGTATTCATTGAAACATGTATTCATTGAAACATACGCTATGAATGATTGTATACTTAATGCCAAAACCTATGGTGGAGTCAAGTATTGCCAAAATACTTTTTTATAACCCGTTTAGCTTTAATCTATCATCAATTTTATTAGTTTTAAAAACTTCACTTTTAAATCTTACTCTTAATTATTAATTTTTAAGCAACTAATATAGTTTTTAAATATAAACTTTGTGTTAAAAACTATTTATAATTCTATACTTCACTCTCATCGGAAAGTTTGTGGAAATACTGTACTAAAGTTTAGTGACTACAGTGTTATATTTCATCAAAAAAAACTAGGTATTCATAAGTCAGTCATGAATGTATTTTAGTTAATTATAATTCACTAAAAATTATGTATATGACAGGTGTATTTACAGTAAAATGCTTAGTAATGTGTTTTAAATTGAAAAACACAGAACTGCTATGAGTTCAACACTAAACTCAGAATTTAACACTAAATCCCAGTTTTTTTTATCACAGAATCACAGTTCACTCGAAAATGTCTTGATTTTAAAGTTTAAGAACTTGTATTTGATTAGCAATTCAGTCATTACTGGCGCTAAACCTGTATATTATTCGCAAATCGCAAACATTTTCCATAAAATAAGTTATTATAAGACGTGAACACAAAAGAGAAATACAAGTCATTTGTATTCATCNTTGATTTTGAAGTTTAAGAACTTGTATTTGATTAGCAATTCAGTCATTACTGGCGCTAAACCTGTATATTATTCGCAAATCGCAAACATTTTCCATAAAATAAGTTATTATAAGACGTGAACACAAAAGAGAAATACAAGTCATTTGTATTCATCGATTCCGTGAATTCACATCTCATTCACACAATGGCTGATACAAACCCAACTACCAGTCCTCCGCCACAACCGACTGCTAATAATAATAATAATAATAACTATAACCGGCTTTTGTTGGACACCATCCAGAGGGTGATCGGCCGACCAGTTTGCCCGGAGACGGCCTCTCAACTGATCCAGCAATTCATTAACATAGACCCAAATCTAGTGAACCAAAGGGTGCGCAACCTATGGTCGACGTACGGGGGAGTGGGACCCACCGATATACGGGACATATGGCAGGGCGCTAACAGTCCCCTCTGGAACCTATGGAACGGTATGTCTTAACCTATCGAGGATCTGGTAATTAAGTTTTTATCTCGTGTTTAGCGGCCAAAGAGAAAGTGGACCTTCAGATGGACGTGTCGTCCGAAGACCGCCTGTTCCTAAACAATGGCGGCCAACGAGACCTCAACTCAATTATGTCGACAAACGGCACTCAAATCAAACTGAATCTGAGCCCAGCGGTGGGCCACTCGGACAGCAGCCCAGTGGTGGTGAGCGGCCCTCCGGACGGCGTACTCAACACCTACCTGGCCATCCGGCAACTCCTACCGATCACCGTATGGTTCCATCTGCACCTCAACTCCAGTCTATCGAGCATTATATTGGATCCGTCGTCGAAGCCGTTGCAGGACATCCAGAAGCAGTACGAGATGGCCATCTGTGTGGTGCCCTCCCAGTCCCCCGTCATCACACCGACTCCTCTGAACCACATTTCGGTCTACATTCGCACCAACAAAGGAAAGGACGACAAACTGCAGGCCGGCATCGAAGCGCTCCGGGAGTTCATAGAAAGCAATAATTTCGGACAATTCGAGCGGTCGGTGCAGACGAAGATCGATCTGCCGTCCCATCGGCCGGAGATAGTCGGCCGCACGTACTCACTGTTGGACCCGATCGCCAATAAGACGGCCACTCAGATCACTGTCCAGCGGTCGGCCACTAACCTCATGAGTAACACGTCGTCGAACACGCTGTCCATCTCTGGCGCCAACTTTTCGTCGATATCGACCGCCCGGACAGAGATCAGCGACCGGTTTGTCGTCGAGTTGGACTTCGAGGTGAACGCGAAGGACAGTCAGGTTCTCGAGAATTTCGGCCGAGAGTTGGAGCGAATGGGCGAACAGTTCGCGGTTCACATACTCATGAAACCCGGCGCCGACATCAATAGGAAGATCGTGATCGTGAGGGGCACCGACCGGGAGGTTAGGAATCTGTTCGATGTCCGCAAGCATATCATGGATTTGGTGAAGTGTCCCACCAGTCAGCCCTTCCAGTCCCTAAATAACAATAACTACCACTAAATCCGTGATTTTGTCTGAAGTGTGAGAAGTTTATGAACAAAAACCCAAAAGTTTTAGTTTTTTTAATATAAGAGTTAATTTTGAAAGTGAATTATAGATTCTTTGAGTTTTTGTGTATTTTTAACCTAATCTTAAATTTTGTTTAATATAATCGTTCACTTTAATCGTGAATTTCAATTAATTTATGATTTATTAATTTTTTGTATCCCTTTTTGACTTATTTTTAAAGCAATAAATTTGTTTCATTGAACTTAATGTGTTTTATTTTATTTTATTAATACTTATCACAACTTAGTTGACAAACAAATTACACTTATATTTCATATAATACTTTATCACTCATTGCGTTGAATTTAATTATAAAATAGTTATAAAAATAATTGAAAAATCTCATTAAATATTACAGAATAATAATATTAATAAATATACAAATCGTTTCCCCAATAACTTAACAATTAATGACAAATCATTTCATACATAATCAGAGAGATCTTTATCGCTGCCACAGGAAAGGGATGTCTGAATCATACATAGGTTTACAATAAAAAATACAAATTACTATAATTAGAAAAACAAATTTTGATGACAAGGATTGGCACTTTCGGTGTTACAGTAGATCCGGTCCCTTATCTCAAGGCAAATGTGGCACTGAATACCAAAACAGTGAAACAGACCGACGACGCGATCGTATTAAACAATATCATAACCACTCCTTTGACGCCATCCGTACAGATAGCACTCATACAGTCGTTTAAGTCATCGTTAATACGCTTACAATGAGCCAACTCCTCGAAGGCGGCCATAATTACATTGATTTCCTGAAACCTATTATCCAATGGCTGTTTCTTACTCGTGAGCTCAGCCGCCATTTCTGGATAGTAGATTTTCAACTGCTCAATCAACGAGTCATAAGTTTTATACTGGTCGTTAGACAGTTTCACCAAATTCTTAGCCCAGTCAATATGAACTGACACAATGTTATTATCGAGACATTCAACCACATAGTTGTAGATCTGCTCGTTGTTGAGCTCGGCTTTGGCCCACGGCTTCACTTCATAGCACGCATCGGACAGTATGACCGACGCGGACATTGTTACCGCCGCTATCAACGAGCCTAATATCAGGGCCAATACGGCCAGTACCGTGAAACAGCCCAACAAACACCGGGAGCATATCGCGAATGTAAACACCAGGCCTATGATAGCCAGGACTAACAGCACCACGAGTACGGCGATACAGAATTTGTCGCCATAATCATCGATGTACTCGCGTATGAAATCGATTTTGGCCTGATCCAGCTCTTTTCTGGCATCAGCTATTTGTTTAGATGAGTCCTTGATATTGGACTCAATAGTCTCACACGTGCCGATAGCATCCTTCACACTTGACTTGACGTCTGGGGGTAACTGATATGTGTAAATCTTTTGCAGTTCGTCCTTAAGTCCCTTCATATCGTCCTCGACCTCCAAGACTTTCAATACCTCGGATACATTGTCTCTGACGGCGTCAAACCAGTCAATGCCATCGTCGGTAGCACTCCTGACCCTTTTGATGGCTTCCCGTAACTCCCAGTCCCCGTATAGGCCCGCTATAAAGCTTAGGCCGCATACCAGTCCGAACAGGAATATGAATACTTTGCACTCCACTTTAATACCTGTTTGTATGGCAGTAGTGATTAGATAATTACTTAATTAAACAGAATATTCAGTGTTTTTATCGCAATTATAATCTCTATTTTTAAAATGCTATTGAAATTTATGTGAAGAGTTATTTGAATTTCTATTTCATTGTCTGATTAGATAAACCAATAGCTGTTAAATGATTGTCTCATTTTTAAATTATGTTTCAGTGCCTGGCATTTAAAATTGAACAGTTTAACCCTGATTTTATGTAAAAGTATATTTAATGCATAAAATTCAAATATATTTTTATCGATTAAATAATTATATGGATTTAATTTTGAATCACTTAAACTCGAGTGTGTTTTTTAAGTTTGTATTAATCATAAACTTCATAAGCAATTGAGATACGACTGCATAAATACATTACTCCAACGCCAAGTTCATTGTCTAAGTATAGTAATGATTAGATTTATATTATAATTTCAATTAAATTTTGCAATTTTCTCAATTAAACTTTCAACTTTTGTTATTATCAGACACATTAAGTGTAAATAAGTGCTAATCTGTAGGATTTGATGCAAAAAATGAGTCAACATGGTCTCTCTGAGAGCTATTAAACCATAAAAATACTAATTATGATTATTAATTACTCTCAAACAAGTGCTATGTTTTCACATCACCTGCTAATATAGATTTGTTTGCATTGAAAAGCATTCGAGTTATGCATAAATACCACATATTCTGTAATAAACACACTATTCCTCACACATTGCTACCATTTATCATACTTATGACTGCCATAAAAATCATATGGAATTTATAATCAAGCACATTCTCCATCGACATTATAATTAAAAACAAAAGTAAAACAAAAAATATGTAAAGAATTCAATTACCCTCTCGTTTCTTATCACCAGAACAACAGCAGCACACGAATAGCGATATCAATAGGTAGAGGACTAGGATGATGAGTAGGGCCAGTATAGGCCAGGCGGCAAACACACCGATACTTTTCAGGTAGTCCGGGCTCCTGGGGTCGAATGTCCTATTCTGGAGCTCCTGTAGGTTAAGGTTCAAGTGCTTAAAATTGTGAAACGCTTTGGCGATGTCCACGATATCGTAGGTATAGTTGACTTCCATTGTGTGTCACTCTTATATGGTATGGACAGGTAGGCAATGGTATGATGTGTTCACAGCACTAACTACTAATGAAATAGATATCACTTTTTGACTAAAAAATTATTAATAAAACAAATACTAATAACACAATCACTTCACATGCAGTCAACTGTTGCGAGAGTTTTATTAAACAAAATTTTTTATTTAGTTTTATATATTGTTTTCCAAATGGAGTGATGAATGGGAATGAAATTCTGGATACAATTCCCTTTCTCTCGCAGTGTTTTTCAGTAGTTATTTACTACTGATATATCTCTCGTAATATATCCTTATATCAAGCACATTCTCCATCGACATTATAATTAAAAACAAAAGTAAAACAAAAAATATGTAAAGAATTCAATTACCCTCTCGTTTCTTATCACCAGAACAACAGCAGCACACGAATAGCGATATCAATAAGTATAGGACTAGGATGATGAGTAGGGCCAGTATAGGCCAGGCGGCAAACACACCGATACTTTTCAGGTAGTCCGGGCTCCTGGGGTCGAATGTCCTATTCTGAAGCTCCTGTAGGTTAAGGTTCAAGTGCTTAAAATTGTGAAACGTTTTGGCGATGTCCACGATATCGTAGGTATAGTTGACTTCCATTGTGTGTCACTCTTATATGGTATGGACAGGTAGGCAAAGGTATGATGTGTTCACAGCACTAACTACTAATGAAATAGATATCACTTTTTGACTAAAAAATTATTTATAAAACAAATACTAATAACACAATCACTTCACATGCAGTCAACTGTTGCGAGAGTTTTATTAAACAAAATTTTTATTCAGTTTTATATATTGTTTTCCAAATGGAGTGATGAATGGGAATGAAATTCTGGATACAATTCCCTTTCTCTCGCAGTGTTTTTCAGTAGTTATTTACTACTGATATATCTCTCGTAATATATCCTTATTTTGTTGCTATTATTGTAAAAAAGTGTGAGAGTTTGACTAATAATTTCATTTCAAGTATGCAATTAATTTATGAGCTATACATCAACGCTAAACACTATTTTCCATACTATAACTTATATATACCGTAATTATAACGTGATTTGAATCTCTGTAACCGAAGCAACAGCTTTTAGTTATTGCCCTCAAATGTATTGATATACAATATATTACATAAAATATACATTTTACACTTATAACTTAGTACAGTATAAAAAACTAATACAAAAACAACAAATCTATTGGTTGCGATAGAAATACCGATTAAACCATTAGTACTGTATTAATAGCCATAAAAACTTATACAAAGAGTTTAAGGGTATACCTAAAGTTAGGAACCTCAGTTTCAGGTAGCAAAATGAGTAAAAAACTCTAAGCAGGTAAACCCTAGAGGGAATAATTCATATAAAGCTTTTGACAGAAGGGTTTACAATGGTTTATTTAGCATTAAAAATAGTAGAATAGACCTAGAACAAAATGAAAAATTCTGCAACTATTGTTTTTTGGCACCAATCCATCGGTATGCCAAATTTTATCCGGACATAAATACAGTATAAAAAACTAATACAAAAACAACAAATCTATTGGTTGCGATAGAAATACCGATTAAACCATTAGTACTGTATTAATAGCCATAAAAACTTATACAAAGAGTTTAAGGGTATACCTAAAGTACTTAAAGTAAATGTCATTCATTCCCAGAGTTTTTATTTTATTTATTTGAGTTCCGCTTTCAGAGTACATAAAACTTTTTCTGTGAACAAACTTATATCACAGACTGAGTTAACAACTCATAAAACTTTTAATGAAAGGTTCATTATGTAATCGGCATGAGTCACACAATTAGCCATAAACTAGATAACTTTTGCTATCAATTCCTGACATTGTAATACTTACGTTACAATTAGGATTTCTCGAGTGTCGAGAATATAATTCACTGAAAATTAATTCATTTATTGCCCCTTTAAAATTAATATAATGAATTGTCAATGATTAAAATATTGACCCTTTATTAATATAATATATGGGCAATAGTTTTAAAATTGCTTTATGGGATATTTCTGTCTGATAGACACAATGTTATTTCAAAAATAAAATTTAGTAAAAAATAAGTTAAAAAAGGTAATTTCCCTAAACTACCGGATCCTTAAGTTGCTGCCTAAAGTACTTAAAGTAAATGTCATTCATTCCCAGAGTTTGTATTTTATTTATTTGAGTTCCGCTTTCAGAGTACATAAAACTTTTTCTGTGAACAAACTTATATCACAGACTGAGTTAACAACTCATAAAATAAAATTACTTTCCAAGTAATACATTAGCCGTACTCAGTGTGTTAATCGGTATTTGATCTATTGAAAACGATAGTTAAGGACTGTAACATTATGAATGCAATGTTAATCCTAAAGAGCTCACAGCTCTTACCGGTGCTGTACGCCCAGCCTAAACCACAGACTGAGTTGCTATTTGATAGTGCAGTTTGTTTTGTCACTTAATATAACTGTTTATGAAAACAATTAATAAAGAATTCAATATAAAAACAATTCTCTCGACTATTGTAGTCATAACAAGTGTTAATTATATATATGAGTCGCCGTTTCCGATCAAACTATAGCCGCGAGAATACGAGTCACAAACTGCCGGTGCTATTGTCAGATAATACAAAATAATAGTCTCAAAGAATTTCTATTATCATAAAGTCGTAAAAATAATTAAATATTAAATATTTGCTAAAAAGCATAAGTAAAAGTCAACATAAATCACACAAAAATAGATTAAATAATCAAAAATGCAAACAAAAAATGTTAATCCAATGCTATTAAAGTATACTTTAAGTCTGTGTTTTCACAACTAATTCTGTTTTTATGTTTAGTGAAAAAACACAATTGTTTATAAATAAACGTTGAATAAAAAGTATATATTCAAATAGTATTTTTTATGAGAAAATCATCTCATATACAATAAGTAGTTATTATTTTCTGTAATATATTTCAATCGCTTTTTTCGATAATTTTTCTCAAATAAATAAAAACAAAAATATAATAATAAATAAAAATTATTTCTTAAATAAAAATACAAAACATTAATTCAAGCGAAAAACAACTGCTTTTCATAACTTTGTGGAAACAAATCACTTCTCAATTATGGATAACTTGAGGACCTGTTGGAAGAGGTCCTCCTCTTCCTTCAGCCGCTTCTCCTCGTCCTCCCTCTCCTGTTGGGACAGTCGTAGCGCTAACTCCAAGTCGGCGGACACGTCGGGCGGTGCGGCGACGGCGGTCACGGCTCGAGCCGACGGTATCTGTCCGTTGGGCACAGATATCGCTGCGCCGTCACTAATGGATCCGTTGGACGCAGACTTCGCCGGTTTACTCGACTCGTGCGGAGATTCATCTGAAGTACTGTCCCTTCTATTCACTCCTTTCTGGTATTCGACTAAACTTTCTTGAATTGCTCTGAAAT